GCTGTGCTAATAAAACAGAGTGGTCTAACAAACTGAGTCCTGAGTCTAACTTTGACACTGCTTAATCTAATTAAAATTATTAATAATCATTTTTATTATTATTTAACACTTATATTGCAGTAGCACTTAAAGGCTGCAACCAGATTGAGGTTTGATTGTGCTAGGTGCTGTAAAAACATCATAAATGACAGTCTTTCCCCCAAAGTACTTAGTCTTAAAGACAATAGGGGAATGAGGCAAAGATGGGCCACAGTGGGCTAGAGAGCGGGGGTAATATTATAGAATATGTATAATTTCTAGTCAATTAGTAATACTTTTCACAAACCTCCATTTGCCTGTCCATTATTATGTTGCAGTTTACTGTATGCCTGGGTGAGTTCTGAAGAAGGAATTAAAGGAAGACAAGGCAGTGGATTTAAGGATTTTGAATGGAATCTTTTACACTTGTAAGGGGCGGCATGGGTGAAAGGGTAAAAGTTCTTTTTGGAGAAGCAGCATAACTGGCCAAGTGGAGGCAGATGTTGATAAGATAAGAAGTCAGATAAGTAGGGAGGGGCTAAATTGTGGATGGTTGTCAAAGAAAGGACTAGACATAAGAAGTGAACCAGGACAGAATGGAGTCACAAAAGCCCATTGACAGGATTTCAAGAAGAGTATGGTTGACAGTGTTGAAAGCAGCCAATAGTCATTGTCATTCATGTTCACCATGAACAGCTTCAACAGGAGAGACTGAGAGCTCCATACCTGAATATCCCATAGCCTAGTGGCTAGGTCACTTTCCTGCACTAAGGAAGACACAAGTTGAAACCCTTCTCCACATTAGGTAGAGGGGGACCTTGAACCCAGGTCCAGTGGTGTAGTCCTAAACTGCAGTGTCTCCCCACCAGCCTGGCACTCTAACCCTCCCCTCCATGCTGATCTAACCCTGTCCAGTCACTTCCACTCTGCTCTAACCCTTCCGACATGGTATGGGGGAGCAGGGCACCATTTGGTTCATTCCAGCTCCATTATGCCATTACCCAGGCGTACTGCTCAGGTATCCCACAGTCCAGTTGAGCTCCCTACTCGCTGAGCTAAAGGTTGTAAGGTAAGCCACCTCCTCCCCACTTGGTTTGTATCTAGGCCTCCTTTGCTTTTATAAAATTGCCCAAAATTGAAACAAAATTTTGAGCCAGGTCAAAATGAAATATTTTGTTTTGACCCCAACTTTTTTTTATTGGCCAAAATTTTTCAAAATTTTTTATTTCAGTTCGACCCAAAAGGATGTTTTTCACAATTATTTTTTAATTGCCAGTGAATCAAAAAATCCATTATTCTCCCAGCTCTAGTCATTAAAGGCCTTAATGAAAGATGTTTCAGGGGAATATGGGATATAAGTCATGTTGGAGGGGGTCTAGAATGGAATTAGAGGAGATGAATGTAATTTCAGTGGTTGTAGATGGCATGCTCAGTGAGTCTGGAGATGTAGAGAAGAAGGGAGATGGAGTGATAATTTGAGGGGGTTCAGTGGTGCATTTTTATATGATGCAATGCATGTTTTTATTGGGAGGGGAAGGAACCTAACAACGGTGAAAGTTTGAGAAGAGTGATGGCAGAAATAAGGGTGGGGGTGTGGGAGGTCAAGAAACAGGAGGGGATGGAATAATGAGGCAAGTGAGAGAGTTAGAAGAAAAAGTATGGAAGCAACTTCAGTGTCTGTGCTGGGAAGAAAGAGGACAGTGTGAGAGAGAGTGATGGGAGAAGGGAGGGGAAAGATACCAAAGGGGAGGGGAAGTCGCATTGGATTTTGTCAGTTTTCTTTTTTAAAGAAACTGACAAGATCCTATGCAGAGAGGAAAGACGGAGAAGGAGTCAGGGAAGATTGTAGGAGGGACTGAAGAGGGGCAAATAAATGGAAAGAACTGTGAGCACTGGAGTGAGAGAGTGGAGAAGAAATGCTTTGGACTAGAAAGATGGCAGCGCTGAAGGGGGAGGATGCAAATTTGTAGCAGAATTAGGCCTTGTCTACACTACAGTTTTGTCGACAAAAGGCAACTTTTGTCAACAAAACTGTAGTGATGTACACACTGCAATGCCCCTCCTGCCGATTTAATTTTCCTGCTATGCTGACAAAATAAAACCACCTCAATGAGAGGCATAGAGCTTTTTGTGACATAGAGTGACACAGTATCAGTGTAGACACTGCATTCGTTACGTCGCCGTAACTGGCCCCTACAAGGTATCCCAAAATGACCAGCCTGACTGCTCTGCTCACCATTTTGAACTCTCATGCCCTGCATCCAGCTACATAGATATGTGCCCCTCCCCTTTCAAAGCCCCAGGAAGCTTTCATATTGCTTAGCATTGAGAGCTCACATAGCTATTGTCCATCTGAGTGTAAGGGGACTGTTGCCCCCTTACTAACATTCAGGGGGGGTGTTTTGGTTGCTAGCTCCCAGCACTGAAAGGGGAAGGGTCGATGGCAAATCAGGAGCCTGAGACTGACAGTCCCCAGGAACAATGGGGAGAGGCCAATGCTCCAGATCAGCCTGATTGACAGGGCGGGCAGGCTAATCGGGGAGTCAGGAGACCAGGGGGGTCCCGTCCTCCGTGTGAACTGGAATGGCCTGAGTCAGACAGAGTGGGGCCGAGCTAAGGAGAGAGCAGGGGCCCGAGCTAAGCTGCTGGGAGCAAAGCTGCAGCCCCAAAGCCAGAGCACAGTCCAGAGAGAGCAGAGCTGCCCTGGGAGCAGAGCTGCCGCAACCAGAGCCAGAGGGGCCAGACAAGCAGCCAGGAAGCAGGTCAGAGCTGGGAGCAGAGTCACAGAAGCAGCCTGCAGAGCAGACCTGTCCTGGGGGCAGAACTGCAGCAACCAGAACCAGAGAGGCCAGAGAAGCAGCCCAGGGAGCTGAAGGCAGAGCAGCAGCAGCAGCTGTGCTGGGGCAGAGTGGAGCTGGGGCTGGAGCAGTCCGGAGCCGGGTGCGGTGAGCAGCTGGGGAGAGGAGGGGGACCCTGGGCAGTGGGCCCAGCACAGGGAGACACCTCAGCCAAGAGGCTCTGCAGGCCAGGCTTGGAGGGGGATCGTAACCCCAACCGGGCAGGGGTGACGCTGGGGAAAAAGAGTCCTGTCACCTAGAGCCTGAGAGCGTGTGGCCACCGCCAGAGCAAGTGTCCAACCCGCTGCGTCTCTGCAGCACAGCCAGGGCCTGAGAAGGAGCCTGGGACCTACAAGGAACAGACTGTGAACTGCCCTGATGTTCCAGAGATACTGTTTGTGATGTTCCCTGCCACAGAGCGGGGTGATGTGTTTTCCTTTAACCTTTCCCATTTTTCCTTATTCTTTTTTTAAATTAATTGTTAATTAAACAACTTGTATTTGCTTTAAATTGTATGAAATGATCAGTGGGTCAGGGAGGTGCCCAGTGCAGAGAGTACCCCGGAGTGGGGACACCCTAGCCCCTGTCCTGGGTGACCACAGTAGGGTTGGGGGTTGAGCCCCCCAGGAATACTGGGCCCAGCCTTGTCGGGGTTTACGAGGACTCTGCCAGACAAGAGAGTGGAAGGGGAGTCCTCAAGGGCAGGGAGGCCTCTGGGTAAAGGAAGTGGGAGCGAGGACTCAGATCCTTTCGCTAGCCCACTTCACTGGGGTAGTGCAGAAGCCAGGAAAGTTCCCCACAAGACCAGGACCATTCCCCCGCTTACATGAGCATGCCAGCTCCCAGCAGGAAACACTCCAGCCTGGACTACAGGAGAGAGGGTGGATCTCCTTGGTTTGTGGGGAGAGGAGGCTATAGGAGAACTCAGAGGGAATTATGGAATCAAAACATTAACACAGAATCCTGCTCTCTCCAACACTGGGACTGCAGCGGCAGGCAGGCAGGATGGGCTGCTGCTGGGGGGATGGGGAGGGGAAGAGACAGATGTGCTGTGCAGATCTGGGAAGAAAGATGGGGGTTGATAGGAGGGTGTCCTCCTCCCCCCGCATGTGTACCGCTCTTTGCTGAGCTGAGGTGTGGGGAAATGGGGTGTGTGTGCCTGGGTTGGTTGCTTCTGGCTGCTATCTGAACAAGTGTTCAGGCTAGTGAGTGCTATAGTTAGAGACAATGTGCTGACACACTCACTGTCCTCCAACATACACGCTCGCCCAATTCTCTCTTTCTTACACACACTTCTGTGAGCTTCTTGTGTTAGGTAGCAATAGAACTTCCACATTTTCTTTAGTAAAATGTGCATGTTTTATATTACTAATACTAGCACTTTCTACACTATTACAATATAGATATTATGGTGTGTGCAAGGTCAAACTGCATGGAGGGTGCTATTTTAGCATCCTCCATGTGGCATGACCTCACAAGTATGGTATGTCTGAGGTCATGCTGTGTGGAGGATGCCATTTTGTAAAATGGTGTCCTCTGCACACTCGGGATTGCCATGACTCTATCTGCTGATGGAGTGACCCCACTTGGGGTCTCAACCCACAGTCTGGGAACCGCTGGGCTAAACTCTTGTCTAAAGTAGTTTCTCATCTAAAGTGATCTCCCAGCATCTCCAACCAACATGACTGAGATTCCTCTTTTATGAATGCAAAAATCACTGTCCTTTTTGCTTCATCACTGAAGGGAAAAAGGTGTCCTTTTGCCTTCTTATATCCCCCCCCCCAAATTCCTTGTTTTGTCCCCAAGTCAGGATTACTCCCCATGGTTTATTCCCTGCATGTGCTGGCTCCATGCTGCCTTCACATCCTCATGTTGACTCCGTATGCAAACAGGCTTCCATTGTGTTGGCTTACAATGCTTATTTTACACAAGAACCAAGGCAGAAAGGTGAATATACACTTTGTCTGGCCAAATCTGCTTATCAACCCTGCTTTGATTCAGACATTAGCAGATATTCTCCAGTGTATATAGACACAAATCTTTAAATATCATCCATACATATATCCCACAACAATTATGAGGATCAGCGTGGCACAAGCTTTTATTAGAGGACTCACTTGACCCTTTTTGGATAAATACTATGACAGCAATATTTGAGGTGCAGTGAGTTTGTCAGGCTTGTCAGAAGTTACTGTTATAGAACAATGAACCCTTTGCAAATTGGCATTGAGGGGTTCTTAGTGTCACAAACCTATAACGAGAAACCCAGTAAAATAAAAATCAAGACAAACTTTCACTCCTCTTAGTCTTTTTTCATTCCTTGGGAAGGGGAAAATTCTCTGTCTTGAGTACTCCTGCACTGGGCTCCCAGTCACGCAGGTTTCTTTTTACACAGCCAGTTCCTAGGTAATCTACATCCAGAGGTAGAGATAATATTTGTTTCAACATAAGCACATTCACCAGAATCTTTTACTTCCAACCTGTAAGTGAGGATAAAAAAATTATCCATTTAAAATTTATGATCAGATAATTGCGCTCAAGGATGCTTTGCTGATAACTGCTCTTCTTGAGGGGTCAAGTTGTTCATCTTATTTTTATTTTCTATTTTCCTCTCATTTTTAGTTTATATTTATTTTGAAGTACATGCAGATTAAGGGAAAGGGAGGAGATACTGTAGTTAAAGAAGCATGCACCTAAATGAACAAATTGAGTCATAAAATTCTGACTCTTCTGGGATGATGACAAAACCTGTCTCATAAGTAGATTCATATCCCATCTGGAGCAGTGACTTGAACTTAGGTGTCCCACCTCTAAGGTGAGTGCCCAGAGTACTCGGTTATAGAGTCAATCTTTCTCTCTCTCTCTCTGGCCCAGTGAATATTTGATTATTTATATAAAGTGGAACAGCTTCAACAGGAAAGGTTGAGGAAATCCGAACCTGGAGTGCCCAATAACCTCAGGGTTAGGGTAGTCACTTGTACTCTGGGCCACACCATTCCCAGTCAGGTTACCCACGACTGTCTCTTGTACAAAGCCCGACCTACTAGGTATGCACGCCTACCGGATTGGGGTAAAATAGGTGGGGGAGCACCTACTTTGCGAATCCGACTAGGCCTCATGTATTCGCTAGGGCACTGAGCTGGAGTCCGTTGGAAACAATAGTATTTGATCATGTAATTAAAGACTGTTTCATAATAGATACACACAGGAGGGGCAAATTAGAATTACACAGGCAACTTTATAGGTGGCATTTCCTAACTTCTAAGTGCTTGACTTTGCAACCTTAACAATGTTCTTTTAACAGTTTTTGTGTGTTGTGTGTGTATATATAATTTATTAGACTTTATAAAAGCATCTATTAACACAGTACATCTACACTACAGTGCTTATTGCTGCGCAGATGCACCGATGCAGCTGCACCGCTGTAGTGCTTGTGGTGGAGACTTTCTAAGCCAACGGGAGAGGTGGTGGCTATGTTGTCAGCAGAAGCTCTCCTGCCGACATAGTGCTGTCTACACCGGCACTTAAGTCAGTATAACTTTCATTGCTCAGGGGTGTGGATTATTCACATCCCTGAGTGAAGTAAGTTATACCCAAGGAACTTTGTAGTACAGACAAAGTCTAAGTGGTATATTTGTTATGTCTCTTCATTCATCTTTCCCTTTGCGTGTCTTTGTTGGTGTTCCTCAGATTCTGTCCTGTGTTTAACCTCACAACACGCCTGTGAAGAGTAACATTTTACACATGTGGAACGGATGCACAAAGAGATTAAATAAATTTGGCCCAGGTCACTCTGGGGGTTGTGGAAAAGCAGGGAAGTGAGGCTGCGTCTTACAAGTCCCAGACAAACACTTTTGCCACTGGACTAACCTTGCCTTATGTCTTACAGCTTTCTCCATATGAACTTTTCCTCCCCAACCTTGGGCTGTATTAGTATTACCATTGTTTGCCCTATATTTGCCGCTTTCTTCCCCATGTCTGTTTACCCACCTCTTTTTTTCTTTTTAAAGTTTCAAGGATTTTAATTAATGTTTTTACTGTGTTACTGAACAATACCTCAAGTGCCTTGTCTGGGGAGGAGGATGGATACTACTCTATAAATAAATGTATTACTTGCAATTTCATCCTGCAGAAAAATAGCAAATGTACTAATGTGTCCTTCAGTACTTTTTTTTAAAAAAGGTCAGGGAAGAAAAAATAGATAATAAAAAACAGTTCCTTTTATCCTGCAATATAGATTCATTTTTTAATTTCATAGCATACTACACAAATCAAAGTGCTTGTTAAAATTACAGCCTCTATTCATGGAGTAATAACTTCATCCACCATTAAAATACATTCTCTCTTCACTTAAGTGCTGACAGCTGCTTTGTATTGTAATGGGTTTGGTAGCATACAACAGATCCAAGGACAAGGAGGGATAAAGACTACTGTTATACTGAGAAGTACTGGTGACTGCTTGGACCACAAACCTGAGACTGGGTGTAAATGCACACTTTAACTCATCCTGAAAGTATATTAATTAATCAGAAGGCCTGCACTTAAGACAAAAGGGTGTTGTGAACCTGCCCACGATTTTGGAGTGAATGGGTGGATGGGGTTTGCTGAATGAGGGGGTGGAGGGGAACATGGGATGGGTGTGAAGGCAGAACAAACAAACTGAAAATGGACAAGAACAGACTCAGAGCAGAGAGGCAGAGACAAAAAGGAAGAAGGCCAAGAAGCTGCTAATAAGTACAAAGGGACCCTGGAAAAAGAGAGGACAAGAAAGCTGGGCTGTCATGGGGATGGGTGGGGTGCTTCAGCTAGAGCCTGGCTGCCCCCAAGGCTCCCCGCTTCCAGCTGGGCTGCACCCACCCCACTCCCTGCTCGGAGCCTGGCTGCCCCCTGGGTCCCAGCTCCCCACTTCCAGCCCAACTGCTGCCTGGGCTCCCCACTCCAAGTCTGGCTGTGAACATCCGGTTCACACTCTCCAATTCCAGCTGGGTTGCTGCCTGGAGGCTCCTGGCTCCCTGCTTCGCACACGGAGCCCAGCTGTACCAAGGCTCCCAGCTCCCCATTGGGAGCCCAGGGGGCCAGCTAGACTCCTGGCAGTGGAGAGCTGGGGGCAGGTTCATCTACCAATGTGATATGTGCCAGCAATGCCCCTCTGCCATGTACATTGGCCAAACTGGACAGTCTCTACGCAAAAGAATTAATGGACACAAATCTGACATCAGGAATCATAATACTCAAAAACCAGTGGGAGAACACTTTAACCTGTCTGGCCATTCAATGACAGACCTGCGGGTGGCTATCTTACAACAGAAAAACTTCAAAAACAGACTCCAACGAGAGACTACTGAGCTGGAATTGATATACAAACTAGATACAATCAACTCAGGATTGAATAAGGACTGGGAATGGCTGAGCCATTACAAACATTGAATCTCTCTCCCCTTGTAAGTATTCTCACACTTCTTATCAAACTGTCTGTACTGGGCTAGCTTGATTATCACTTCAAAAAAAATTTTTTCCTCTTACTTAATTGGCCTCTCAGAGTTCGTAAGACAACTCCCACCTGTTCATGCTCTCTGGATGTGTGTGTATATATCTCCTCAATATATGTTCCACCCTATATGCATCCGAAGAAGTGGGCAGTAGCCCATGAAAGCTTATGCTCTAATAAATTTGTTAGTCTCTAAGGTGCCACAAGTACTCCTGTTCTTTTTGCGGATCTAGACTAACACGGCTGCTACTCCGAAATGTAAAAGGAGGAGCTGCAGTTTCCGTGTTAACATGCAGCATAAACTCAACTACCCCACCCCCCACCCACAAACACCCAATTCTCTGGGATGATCACTTCACTCCTCCCCCCCACCGTGTGGCTAACAGCGGGGAACATTTCTGTTCAGCCAAGCAGGAACGGGCACCTCTGAATGTCCCCTTAATAAAATCACCCCATTTCAACCAGGTGACTCTGAATGATATCACTCTCCTGAGGATAACAAAGAGAGCTAAGGAATGGATGTTGTCTGCATGCCAACAAACACCGGGACCATACGCTGCCATGCTTTGTTATGCAATGATTCCAGACTACGTGCTACTGGCTTGGCGTGGTAAAGTGTCCTACCATGGTGGACGGGATAAGGCAGCCCTCCACAGAAACCTTTTGCAAAGGCTTTGGGAGTACATGAAGGAGAGCTTTCTGGAGATATCCCTGGAGGATTTCTGCACCATCCCTGTACACGTTAACAGACTTTTCCAGTAGCTGTACTGGCCGCAATTGCCAGGGCAAATTAATCATTAAACACGCTTGCTTTTAAACCATGTGTAATATTTACAAAGGTACACTCCAGAGGTCCCTTGTGTGCCCTCGGGATCTTGGAGCACGACTTGGGTGAGTTCGGGGGTTACTGGTTCCAGGTCCAGGGTGATAAACATATCCTGGCTGTTGGGAAAACCGGTTTCTCAGCTTCCTTGCTGTGAGCTATCTTCATTGTCTTCATCATCATCTTCCTCGTACCCCGAACCCGCTTCCCTGTTGCGTGATTCTCCATTGATGGAGTCAAAGCACACGGTTGGGGTAGTGGTGGCTGCACCCCTAGCATGGCATGCAGCTCCGCGTAGAAGCGGCATGTCTGCGGCTCTGCCCCGGACCTTCCGTTTGCCTCTCTGGCTTTGTGGTAGGCTTGCCTTAGCTCCTTAATTTTCACGCGGCACTGCTGTGCGTACCTGTTATGGCCTCTGTCCTTCATGGCCTTTGAGACTTTTTCTAATATTTTTGCCATTTCGTTTACTGCTACGGCGTTCAGCTAGCACTGATTTGTCTCCCCATATGGTGAGCAGATCCCGTACCTCCCGTTCAGTCCATGCTGGAGCTCTTTTGCGATCCTGGGACTCCATCATGGTTACCTGTGCTGATGAGCTCTGTGTGGTCACCTGTGCTCTCCACGCTGGGCAAACAGGAAATGAAATTCAAAAGTTCACGGGGCTTTTCCTGTCTACCTGGTCAGTGCATCTGAGTTGAGAGCGCTGTCCAGAGCGGTCACAATGAAGCACTGTGGGATAGCTCCCAGAGGCCAATAACGTCAAATTCTGTCCACACTACCCCAAATCCGACCTGCAAAGGCCGATTTCAGCGACAATCCCCTCGTCGGAGGTAAAGTAAAGAAACCGGTTTAAAAGGCCCTTTAAGTCGAAAAAAAAAGGGCTTCGTCGTGTGGACATGTCCAGGCTTAATTCGATTTAACGCTGCTAAATTCGACCTAAACTCGTAGTGTAGACCAGGCCTTAGAGGCTCCCAGAGGGTAGTGTGTAACTTTCCCAGATTACTGGATAGGGGCTTGAGCTGGTTCTGTGTTTGTGTTGTTGAAAAGGAACCCCTAGATATTGAACCTGGCTCTGGTTTCTGCCAACTCCGCCTGGCAGAATGGTTACATTCTAGTAAGGCTAATTCAGGGAAGAGAGAATAATAGACTTGGACAAGTACATAATTTTTTCCAGTCAATAAAAACAAATCTATGCTTTCTTTGCAGCAGGGGGTTATATTTCTTGAGACACCAACATTTGACTTGGCCTATATTTTTGTCACGTGTGACAAGACTGGACAGCTTCACTGTTAATTTGAAGCCAGTATAAAATGTCTCTGGTCCTTCTCTTATGATTTTTAATCCATAAATGACCTTCATATATCCTTTTTAAACATTTTTTTTGTTTTACCTTAAGAATCCCCATGAAGGTGCCTTTAAACAAAATCCTGTCTAATACTAAAAGCTCTCCCTTAAATTGATGATAGGTTCTAGGACTACACTGTCCCAGCCATCATATGCTAATATAACCTTCATTACATTCTGCATGTTCTCAGCCTGAGCAGTAGCTCTGGCAATCACAGTCCATATTTAGTCTTAGACTGGAGAGGTTTTGTTTAAAAAAAAAAAAAAAATTGAATGAACATGCCTAAATCTCAACTTTGCTTCACTGCACTTTTGTCAAATGCTCTCAAAAGTGTGTCTGCAACCACCACATCTTTCCCAGGTTCAATTTGCGGACCATATATTTGTAACTGAAAAAAAATTAATTTCCGTATTTTTATTGGCGTGGATGAGCAGGTTACAGGCCCCTTTTGGCAATAATAATA